ACCAGGAGAAGCACCTGGCTCCTGCCATCGGATCAGTGCAACGCGCCAGCCGCGGCGGCCATTGGAGGGTGAACCAACAGCAAAGGAAGACCTTTCTCTCTGTCTCTCTCTCTCACTGTCCACTCTGCCTGTCAAAAAAAAATATAAATAAATAAAAGATAAAAAAATAAATAAAATATCTGAGAATCTGAGAAGGTATTTCTCTACAGAAGATATAAAGTAGTCAATAAGCACATGACAAGATGTTCAGCATCATCAGTCATCAGAGAGATACACCCCACAACCACAAGATCTCAGTTCATGCTTACTACCATCACAAAGGCAGACAATGAGGGCCGGCACTGTGGCACAGCGGGTTAAGCTGCTGTATGCAGTGCCTGCCGGCATCCCATATGGATGTCAGTTCGAGTTCCAGCTGCACCACTTCTGATCCAGCTCCCTACTAATTCTCCTGGAAAATCAGCAGAACATGGCCCAACTTCTTGGGCCCCTCCACCCACGTGGGAGACCTGGAGGAAGCTCCTGGATCTTGGCTTTAGCCTGGCTCAGCCCTGGCCATTGCAGCACTTGGGGAGTGAACTAGCAGTTGGAAGATTTCTCTCTCTCTGTAGCTCTTTCAAATATATAAATAAATCTTAAAAAAAAAAAAAAAACAAGAAAGAAAGAAAAGAAAAGAAAAGAAAAGACAGTAATAAGTGTTGGCAAAGATGTAGAAAAGTTGGGGCCAGCATTATGATGCAGTTCAACACCAGTATCCCATATCAGGTTACAGATGCAAGTCCTGGTTGCTCTACTTCCCAAATCGCTCCCTGCTAATGCACTTGAGAAAGCAGCAGAAAATGGCCTAAGTGCTTACACCCCTACCACTCACGTGGGAGACCTGAATGGGGTTTCAAGCTCCTGGCTTTAGCCTGATCTAGGATCCTAGGATGGAAGATATTCATCTCTCTCTCTCGCTCTCGCTCTTGCACTGTGTGTGTGTATGTGTATGTATGTATGTATGTGTGTGTGTCTTCTCCGCCATCTTTCCCCCACCTCAGTCTCTGTCACTCTTCAAATAAAAGGCAGATATTAAAAAATATATATATATACAAAAGCTGGAAACCTCATACATAACTCATGAGACCAAAATGGTGTGATCAATTTGGAAAACAGTTTGGCAGTTCATAGAAGTACTATTTGACCCACTGATTCTACTCCTTGGTATTTATCCAAAGGACATGAAACCATCTGTCCACACAAAGCCTGGTGGATGAATATGCTCAGCATCATGTTCATGCAGTCAAAAAGTGGAAACAACTTAAATGTCAATCAATAGTGAGTAGATACATACAATGTGGTATATAAATATAATGAAATCCCACATGGCAATAAAAAGGAATGAAACTTTGATACACACTGCAATGTAGATAAACCTTGAAAACATTACACTAATTCAAAGAGGTCAGTCCCAAAAGCCCATATATTGTATATTCCATTCACATGAAATGTCCAAAACAAGCAAATCCATAGAGACTAAGAGTAAATGATTTCTAGGGACTGAGCAGGGAAGAACTGAGAAAGACTGCTAGTAAACAGAGTTGCATTTGGAGAGACAAAAATGCCCTAAAATTAGTTTGTGATGATGCTTCAACTTGTAACTTTAAAAAGTTCGTTACATACCTTATACAAGTGAATTATAAATGAGTATGTGAATTATATCTCAATAAAGCTCTTTTTCAAAAAGTCACCATTATTAAAACAAAAAAACAAGCTACAGATTAGGGGAAAATATTCATATTACACATAACTGACCAAACAGAATATATGAAGACCACTTAAAACCCACTAATAGGATGATGATCCAATAAAACCTTAGCAAAAGATCTGAAAAGACACTTTACAAAGAAGGTATATGAGGACAAATGACCAGTGAGGGCATACAAAGATGACCATCATCATCAGTCATCAGGAAATGCAGATCACAACCACTGTAAGATACCAGGACACACCCACCAGCAGGACTAAAATCGAGGACTGCCGCAAGAATGCAGAATGGCAAGAATTTACATACACTGCCAGCAGACTTTGGAAAACTGAGAGCTTCTTTAAAAATTAAACATAACGTTTACCATTACCATATGACCCACTCATCCTACTGCTGGGTCTTTACTCAAACATGCCCCCAAAAGCTTGCACAAGACTATTCAAAGCAGCTTTATTCCCAACAGCCTGCAAACTGCGAACAACCCAAATGTCCATCAAAAGCCAGATAGCACGTGGACCATCCACACAGTGGAATACTACTTGTTAGAAAGCATAATGTCCAACTAAGCCTCCCTACTACACGGATGAGCATTCAAACACTTATGGGAGAAATAAGTCAGACACTGAAGAGTGTGTACTATGAGTTCACATAGATAATATCTTAGAAAATAAAAGTCTCTAGTGAGTGAAAGATCACTGGTTGACTGGAGTCATGTGTGAGGGAGGGAGGACTTCACATAATCTTTTAGGGGTGATGGACATTTTCTGTATCTTGATCATGGTGGTGACTTCTTGAGCATGATTCTAGCATGTTCATCACTATTTAAAAAAATATGGTGAAGTGTAGGCACACCATTCCTCAGTAAAGCTGGTTGTTAAAAAAGTAACAAGAACCAAGGAAAACAGAATCAAACAGGTTAACATTATGCAATATCCAGTGTCCATGTAAACAGTGCTTCTAAACTGCTTAGTAGCACAAATACAGTCTTTTCTTTAGGTAGTGCAAATATTCATCACCTCTAGATCTGGATGTTATGATTAATCTGCCTGACAATCTGCCTAATTCATCCTTGAATTACTATAAATTCTCCATGAGCGTTGGCCATATTAATGAGGTTTTATAATGGCAAGAGAGGGCGGAAGCCCCCTTAGAGAAGCTCAGGGAGGGAGTAGGGAGAGCTGTGCCAACAAGGACTTCCAAGCATGGTTCTGAGGTTGGTTCTGTTCTAGAGACTTCCAGGCTCACATGCCAAACTCATCTTTCCAAAACATTGTGCTGGTATGTACACAACCAAGAAGCATAGGAAGGAAAAACTCAGGTTTCCCTGAACTTGACCTTGTCAAGTTAAAGACCATCTGCAGAGAAATCTGATGAAAGGACACAGATGCCCATAAAGAAACCACTATGTCCTGAGGACCTACTGTGTGTGACAGACCATCTCGCACCCCATTCTCTCCTGCACTACTCACTTTTGTCCTTCAACCTACACATTCTTAGGATCCCCATTTTTTTCTCATCATAGAAACTGGTGCTCATACCCAGACATGGTGCTCAGACCCAGACATGTGCCCAATTCCCCCAGCTGATGAGAGGGCAGAGCTGAGATTATACATATTTGGGGTTCTCTGATGTTTAGCTGTAGCTGCTTAGCCACAATATGAAATAAAAAAAAAATACATACAGCTTTGGATTCCAGTGTTAGGACTTTTTTCTTTACCAATATAAATGAACACAGTTAAATACACAGCTGACATACTGTGGGGCTTTTGCTCATCATCAAAGTGTCACACACCTCCCACTAGACAATCTGAGTTTAAGATAATGCTTCACCTGCACCTGTGAGAGGAGACCGGTGTAAAACAAAGCCAGTTCCAGGGAGCGTCCTGAAATTTTCGGAGAACTCTTGCTCTCAAGGAAAAATCGGAAGTGTGGCAAATCATACAACAAACAAAAGAGCAGGAACCAGAAAAGATTGCACTTTAGTACCTGGAGAGGTAGCATGTGACCCAGCAGGCAAAAGCTGTTGACCTTGGCAGCATAATAGTTTTAGTTAGTCATAGTCAGTGTCCTGGCTGACTCCAACAGAGAAATCGCTAAGACTGCTGGCCACCACCCAAGACCGCCATTTGACACAAAAGGTCACCCACAGGCTTCCAGCTTAAAGACTTTAAAAATATTTATACAAAAATTTCATACTCTCCTAAAATATTTTCAAGATACTGAGAGAGGCAATAAACGCACTGATGAACACTTATTTGCATCCTCACATAATCCAACTTAAGATGTTGTTTAAACATTCATAAGGATAAAAATACATGAAAAATTAATGGTTAGGCTAACCATCAAAGCTTCTGCATATCTTTGGCAATCCAAAGTCTAAAAATCATCAATAAATAATGTAATCAAGTATATATTCGAAACTTCAACAAAAATCCTCTTGTATCATTAAGCTCAATATTATAGTGCTCCAGAATTTATTTACTTGGGTAATGGTTCAAGCATGCAATTTCTATCACTTCCATTTAATAAATGTAGTCCTGGAATACTCCTAGGGATTCTATCACCTAGAGTAAACATTTATGTGAATAAGGAGACCAATTCCATCCAAAGTTTTTAAAAATACATGCTCAGGTACAGCCTCTACCTGAATATCTCGCTTTCTCATTTCTTTCGTCATCTTCAGTGGTATTAGAATGCAGGTGTAATCTAACGGGAGTGACAGAGTCAAGGTGTGACTCCAGTGGGACTCTTCTTTCCTCTGGCATGAATTCCCACTTCAATCGCTGGTGCACTTATCCACCAAGGGAAGAGTAGAAGGGAAAGGATGGAGCACACAGCTACCACCTGCTTCCCTCCCCAGCATCTCCACCCATGAAGACAAGGGTAGCAGTTTCTCCTAGAGGCGAGAGCAACGCGCACTTCATCTCGGGTCCCCTGAGGTGTCTTGGGGCAACAACATCTGGACTTGGCACGTTAGGAAGTTACAGAGAGCTTGCAATTCTAAGGCTGGGTCGCACTGTGAGGTTGCTCACTCTGGCCCGGCAGCTGCAAATGAAACCAAAAGGAGCCTGGAGCCTCCCAGGTACAGTGCACTGTCTTCAGATGAATACAGGCTTCTCCGGTGTGCCACAGGCTGCACTGCTCCCAACTGTCTGCCCTGGCCACCGCTTTCATTCATTTTACCACCCAGTCCCTTTAAGCATTGGGTGTATGCAACCCTGGCCAGTATTCATGGATAAAGCAAGGTACTTACAGTTGCATGACCAAGTACAGGTGATTTGGGCTTTCGTAAATGTCTTCCAGGGCAACGATGTTCTCATGCTTAATCCTGCAACAGAAACAAAGCACACACATCACATAGGAGGTAAAATTCAACACAACTTTGTAAAACAAAAGGCTCCTAGACAGAATCCAAACTCTATAAGGAAACATTTAAGACCCTTTACAATTTTGTCCCCCTGGCGCCAAATTTCTTTCAGACCCATTTTCCAATATTCCTCCACTGTTCTGCGTTCCTCTTCATTCCTAAAGCAATCGTGTTGTCACTTCAGATTGATCCCTGCCCGGGATTCAAGTGGATCACAGGAAATGGCCAAATTTGTCAATATCCTATCATCTTGCAGGCTGAGTCCCTAGGCACAATCCCATGGCTTGTTTTTCTGCTGTCTCTCAACGGCCATCACAGACTGGCTTGAAAAGTTAATTCCATGCATACTCACCTCCCATAAGAGGCTATAAACTCCAGGGAACAGTTTCACTATCATGTTCATGCACCCTGTGTGAACAAAGGGGACCAAGACTGACCCCCTCATTGGAGTTCACATACTCCATCACCAAACAGCAATCCAGTGTTGCAAGACAACTAGAGCACTGTTACTCAAAGCGTGGATCTCAAACAGCAGCACCAGTGTTGTCAGGGAGCTGGGTGGAAATGCAAATTCTCAGGTCCTACTCCAGTCATAAAGAATCAGAATCTCTGAGGATGGAGCCCAGAAACCTGCATTTTGGTAAGATTGTCCGATGACCTTTGCGCACAAAGCAGAGCTTGAGAAATACTGCAGCAGACCAGCGCATCTGAAACGCCCAAGTGTAAATGAATCACCTGGGACTCTGCTTAGCAGCACATCTGTTTTGGTGGGCCTGGGTGGGGGCATGAGAGGCTGCATGTCTCCCAACTCCCAGGGGATGCTTATGCCGCTGATTTGCAGACCACACAGAGTCCTAGGTAAAGAACCACAGGAGGAGGAAACAGCCCAATTCTAACCTCTAGAACTACCCATCACAAGCAATTTCTGTTTGCAAATATATGGCATTTGCCTGAAAAACAAACAAAATGTTCAATATGTGTAAAATAATAAAAAAGCAATTTCTGCCTAGATCTTAAGGCTTGATATTTATTTAAAGCACTTGAGAGAATCATTTCATTACTCAATGAGCTAATTAGCTCTTCCCACAAGCCATTCAGTGAAATGAGTGCTGAACCGCTGAAACACTTGAAACATGCAGATTCTAGTGAAGTCATTAAGAGCAAAAATGACCTTACTCATTTTGTTTCCCCCCTTGTGTCCAGCACAGATCTATTTAATACATGTTTGCTGAATGAATGAATGATACCTAAAGTTTGTTGCCACTAAAAAGCTAGAAACAAGACTAGCTGGAGAAAATGAAAGTAATCTCCCTAAAAGCGCAATGTCTTTCCCACAAAAGAAGTTTATAAGGTGGAACAAATAAGAATATCATTTTCCCTTTGAGGGAAGAAAGAAGAGAACAACATAATTAAACGCAGTAAGGCTTCGCTCTGATTCTACAGTTCTTATTAGTTAATGCAGTTACTTTGTAGGAGCAGAAACTATAGATGATGCTAAATTCACATTTTATCTGATTCCAATGCACAGAGCCTAATTATTTGTTTATCAGCAGTGGTTACTTGCACAACCTAGTCAAAATATCATGAAAGTACTTTTAAAAGTTCATGGAAGGGGGCCGGCGCCGCGGCTCACTAGGCTAATCCTCCGCCTAGCGGCGCCGGCACACCGGGTTCTAGTCCCGGTTGGGGCGCCGGATTCTGTCCCGGTTGCCCCTCTTCCAGGCCAGCCCTCTGCTGTGGCCCGGGAGTGCAGTGGAGGATGGCCCAGGTGCTTGGGCCCTGCACCCCATGGGAGACCAGGAAAAGCACCTGGCTCCTGGCTCCATGGGAGACCAGGAAAAGCACCTAGCTCCTGGCTCCTGCCATCAGATCAGCACGGTGCGCCAGCCGCAGCGCGCCGGCCGCGGCGGCCATTGGAGGGTGAACCAATGGCAAAGGAAGACCTTTCTCTCTGTCTCTCTCTCTCACTGTCCACTCTGCCTGTCAAAAAATAAAAAAATAAAAAAATAAAATAAAAAAAAAAAAGTTCATGGAAGGGTCGGCACTGTTGGTGTAGTTGGTAAAGTCTCCACTTGCAGTGCCGGCATCCCATATGGGCACCAATTCAAGACCTGGCTGCTCCGCTTCCGATCCAGCTCTCTGCTTATGGCCTGGGAAAGCAACGATGGCCCAAGTCCTTGGGCCCCTGCACTCGTGTGGGAGACCCAGAAGAAACTCTTGGCTCCTGGCTTCGGATCAGCACAACTCCGGCCATTGCAGCCATCTGGGGAATGAACCAGCGGATGGAAGTTCGGTCGGTCGGTCGGTCTGTCTGTCTGTCTCTCTCTCTGCCTTTGCCTATCTGTAACTCTGCCTTCCAAATAAATAAATCTTTTCTTAAAGTTAATGGAAATGGAATTAAAATATAAGTATATTTGGGTGCAAAAATTTTGGAATCCATACATAAATTTTTCTTTATACACATTTTCTAAGACCTTTTGTGAAGAGAGCTTCATATGTGACTGTCAACATCCTAAAAATTCAGAGCATTATCAATATTGGATATATCTGAAAGTAGATGAGCACAGAAGTATACTCGTCATGGGGATTTTGCTTTTTAAAAAAATTTAAAAATTTGCTATTGGAATCAATCTTGTGCATCAACTATTGTCTTTCAGTCAAGTTATTCTGGGGGTTAGTCAAGAGGCTGGCAGGACACACAGTTACATGTGAAGCAAATAAAAATGAATTAACAAAAACACCCACCAGGTGGGATCTAGGAGCTGGCATTTGGCCTATGAAGACACTGTTATCTGACTTCACCATAACTGGGTTTGAATCCCAGCTCCGGCTCCTGACCCCACCTTCTTGCCAGTACAGACCCTGGGGCACAGGTAGTGATGGGACAAGTGACTGCATTCCTGTCACCCTTTGGCTCTGGCCCAGCCCAAGCTGTTGTGGGCATTTTGGTGAATGAACCAGCAAAATGGGAGCCAGCTTGCTCACTTGACCCCTTTGTCTCCTCCCACTCCTCACCTTTCAAATAATAAAATTAAAAAAAAAAATTTAAATGGTGATGACAGTGAAAGGTGACCATGTCACTGCATGCATGGCCCTCAGCAGCAATTACTGTTGTTTCCTTGGGAGCTTGGCTGACTTCAGAGTGACTTGTTATATAAAAAAGAGCAAGCCTGGATCCTTCATCTCTCTTGCTCCTTGCTCTTAAACCTCCAGAACCGCGAGTTAATTAAATCTCTTTTCTTGATACATTACCTAGCACGAGGTATTTTCTTACAGCAATACAAAACAAAGACTTTTACCTAATGAATTGATGAGTCAAGCAATTTTCACTGAGCTTCTACTATGTGTCTGCGAGAATATAAGAAAAACAATGGCTGGCACTGTGGTGTAGCGAGTTACTCTACCACCTGTGATACTGGTATCCCACATGTAAGCAGGTTCCAGTCCTGGCTGCTCCACTACTGATCCATTTGATCGATTTCCCTGGGAAAGCAGAGGAAGATGGCCCAAGTACTAGGGCCCATGCCACCCATGTGGGAAACTTTGATGGAGTTCCAGGCTCCTGGCTTCGGCCTGGCCCAGCCCTAGCCATTTCAGTTATTTGGGGAATGAACAAGCAGATATGAAAGATCTCTCTCTCTCTCTCTCTCTCTCTCTCTGCCTTTCAAATAAATAAATACATCTTATAAAAAGAAAAACACAAAATCAGCTTTGGTCTTCCAAAAGCTAATCATCTCGATGGAGAGATCCATGAAGTACTTAGAAAAGAATTACATGTTAAATTCTGTAGAATTACCTGCAAGGTCAGAGAAGGTCCTGGATGGATCAAAATTATGGGAAAGGCCTGAGGAAAATGATGGGGTTTGAGATGGGATGGGTAATGTTTGAACAGGCATACTTGAGAAACTTCAAATATATCCTAAAATAGTCTCTTAAATACCTCTTAAGAAAAGTGGTTTAATTAACTTGGAGCTGATAGAATGGCTTAAAAAAATCCTGGCTTCCCACATCTGTTCTCAGGGACTTTATTCCACCCTCAGACTTCTTATGAGAGACAAAAAGTGATGGTAGAACTTTATTTTAGTAGACAGAGTATTTTCACAAAATGCCATCGGAATGTCCACACATTTCTAGGATGAGGGCAGAAACACTAACTGAGGATCTATTCCATGCAAATACAATGCTGAGTTCTCTCTTTTCATTATTCACTGCAACAACTAGTTGTTGGCTCACTGTGGACCAGGCACAGGGTAAGTACCTGGAATTTAGTGGTGGGCAACACAACACAGAGACAGAGGCCACCCAGAGCTCACAGAGGCTACAGGTGGAACACTCTCCCAGGCTCAGTAGCAACAGAGAACAAGTGATGCCCTCCTTCTCTGTAGCTTACCAATCTCTGAGGAATACCGTGTCTCTGCTTAGTCTTCTTAGGGTTGGCTTCACCCCTCAAATGGATGCATAACTAGGTCTGCACCAGGCAAAAGCTGGGAGCCAAGAACTCCTTCCCACGTGGAAAGGTAGGGTTGGCAGGGGACCAAATACCTGTGCTATCTCCTACTGCCTCCCCAGGCACATTAGAAGGAGCTGGATCAGAAGTGGAACAGCCAGGACTGGAACCAGCACCCCAATGTGGGATGCTGGCATGACAAAGAGAGGCTTAACTCACTGTGCCACAATGCTGGCTCCATGAAATACAGTTTGTATTCCTCTGTCTACTGTCACTCTTGTTAGTCTAAACATATTCAGAACTGAAAACAATGAGTCCAGTGTAAAACACTGTCTCAAAAGTATTAAGTAAAAGAGTAAACTAATAATCATTATGGGCTGAATAATATGTTTTCACAAATAAGGCCAAGCATTATGTTTTTTTTTTCCCCCTAGCAGCTGCAGAATGGTTGGTACATAAAAATGTAAGCTCCACACAGGTAGAGATTTACAACTGTTTTGTTCACTAATGTCTC